AGTGTTAAAACTTAATTTATAGTCTAGGCTTTGAACCCACCTCCCAGAGCTCTTCATTCTCATGTCTTCTTTATTAAGTTAATCAAACGTTTTCATTTCATTCTGTATTTTACGTATAACATTAAAATGCCTATCAAGAAATGCGTACCCTAGAACTCGAAGTGTTATTAATTCCAGGTTTCAGCTTTTCCTGAATAGCAATATAACAGAGACCAATTTTTGCAACACTGAACGTGCCCGATCCCGTCTGATCTCGGAAGCTAAGCAGGGTCGGGCCTGGTTAGTGCTTGGATGGGAGACCACCTAGGAAGACCGGGTGCTGTAGGTGTAAAAAATACTTAAAAAATAAGGGATTTTAAGCTCACAGGGTTCTTGCAATCTATGAGGTCCCTGAATAGCAATATAACAGAGACCAGTTTTTGCAACACTGAACGTGCTCGATCCCGTCTGATCTCGGAAGCTAAGCAGGGTCGGGCCTGGTTAGTGCTTGGATGGGAGACCACCTAGGAAGACCGGGTGCTGTAGGTGTAAAAAATATTTAAAAAATAAGGGATTGTAAGCTGACAGGGTTCTTGCAATCTATGAGGTCAATGAAAGGTTGCCTTGCTTTAAAAAAAAAAAAAAGAATGGCAGCCTGTTCTCCTGACGGGAGCCACCACGTCACGTTCCCGTAGAGCTCATGGCCAAAGACAGGTGACTCTCCGGTAAGACACACTCACGTGGATCCAGCAGCGAGAATCCCGACCCCCAGTTTTCTGGCTGGCTGGCTTAGAGGCCTGCGCTGCCCCGGGTTCTCATATCGTTTTCAGATAGTTTCCTTTGTTCTATTTTTTGTTTGACTCTATATTTTCCATGCCGACTTTTTTGCTCAGGCTGTTTCTCCTCGTACTGAAGTGGCTGTTTTCCCAGTTCTGAGTGCAGAACGGTGATGTCCACTCTTTCTCCCTGGTCAGGGGCCACCCAGGCGCCCTGGTCCTGCCTTGGAGTTCGGTATTTGCTCTCCTGACTGAGCCAGCCGAGGCTGGGGGGCCTTACAAGGCCTGCACGTCATGACCCGCCCCGGCACAAGTAGGATAGAGGTGGGGGACAGGAGTTGGTGCGCGGCACGGGGGGTTCCCGGAGGGGAGCACGGCGACTCCTTCCGCTGCAGCCACAGGGACACAGGCACTCTGCGGGGCTCCCGCGGGATGGAGGGCCCGCACGCTGGGCTTGCTGCCGGCACTGATGGCCGGTTCTCTCCTTCCTGTCCCGGCTGCCTCCCGGGGCCTGGTCAGAGCAGGGAGAGACCCAGGCGGTTCCGTGGCGGTTCATGGCAGGTTATTGTGGCTGTAGAAGTTTAGGAATGTGAGCGGAAGAGAGCAGCACACGATGTCACCACCCAAAGATGCCGGCGTACACGTTTGCGTGCGTATGAAATATACATGGGCCTACGTTGTTCACGTCAGACGTGAGGTGACATGATATACTGCAGGAAAAATCATTTGTAATTGAATCCAGTTTGTGTGTGTAATTTATAAAATGTGTATGCATTTATATACACGTATAGATTAAAACGCATTTTTTCTTTTAGCTAATGTGGCTCATATAGTGGTTCTGCTTTTCTCTTAAATTTTTAATTTAACCAAATCCAGTTAAATTATAAATGTAAACTTTCATTATTATTTTTAGCAACTGCACTTTTGGATCATATGTCTAAATTTTTTATTGTAAGCCTTTGCAAATCCTTCTATTTTAGTAGGAAGATATTAAAAATCAACAAAGAATAAAAATTCTTAAAGATTGTAAGAATCAACCAAAATCCTTTTCAACTCTCTCTAATGCTTGATTTTAAATGTGTCTTCTTTAGATCTCCTGTAACTTAGAAATATATTTTGTCTAAATTTTTTCTATTCATATTTTGTTTTTCTTTAATGACGTTTACTTTTTTTGTCTATAATTTTTACGTAATAATTCCTTATCGATTCTGAATTATACGCATTTTAGTGGCATTTCCCCCTCTACTTCTGGTATCTTACTTCAGAGTAAAAAAGAATATTATTAACAGCCACAGAACTTTTAAGTCACTTATCATAGTATGAATTCCTTTGAGTTCTGGTTATAAATTGGGATTCATTTCTGAAATTTCACTTCATCTAAAAGAAATATCAAAAGTGATCACAAAAAGAAAAGCATAAGTATATACACAGTTATAAAGATTTACAAAATATTCAAAATTAAGTATTTTGAAAAGTGTACTTACTAGGAGATCCTCCAGGAGATTTTTTTTTTTACATGCACTATTCTCCCAGAAGCTTTAAAAAACATATTAAAATGATGTTTATTTAGATCGAAGGTGTTTTCTTCTTTTTTAAGATAAATTTCTCTTTAATGAGCATGGATATTCCATTTCTAAAATTATTTTCTATTCTTTTTTATTCATCCCACCAGAAGAATGAACATAAAAGAATGTAAGCTCCTTGAAAACAGGGATAAATGCCTGGCACATAAGGGATTTATAATGTGTATTTGTTGAGTAAACAAATATTTACAGAAATGCTGTGCCACGTAAAAATTAGTGTCTGCTGTTGTGAACATTTTTGTTGATAACTAGATGCTCATGAATAATCCGCAATCTGGTGTTCATGGCATTTTCCTTCTTTTCCGTGGTCCCTAGCCTTTCATTTTACGGCGAGCCTCCCTGCCGAGCCGTGTGAAGTGCTAGCGGTTGAGGTGTAGGTACATGTGGGGTGCTCGGGCACCCCGGGGCTGTGGGCCTCAGAGGGGGGCGTCCTGGGGCAGCCTAGGGCGTGGGCTCTTGACCCGGGGTCCGCAGATGGTCTGCGAGGTGTCAGATGCTGAAGCCGGGGCGGGAGGGTGGTTCCTCTGTTACTTTGAAAATGTCTTTGTGGAAAAAAATAGTTTTCAGTGCCAAATTATATTGTTAGTGTATTGTTTCACTGCAGACTTATGAGGTGGCAAATGAAGTCACCTTTCTATGTGCCGGTCTGGGCAGCAAACTGTAGCTTGTGGTCTTAGCCCCTGGGTACCCTGTGTCTCGTATGCCACCAACTTTAAAGGAGAAATGACAGGAACTCTTTTCAGCATGCCCAAATTTCCCTTGGGCAGGGGAGTTCAGCTACGTGAGTGAGAATTCCACGTACAGGAAATAAGCAGGGGGTCCCTTCTGGCAAATTCCACCATGCTCATTAAATTCCTCAACCAAAACACCATGTTCCCTAAGTGCAGCGGACTTGACATTCATGTAGCAAAACCTGTTCGACTTCTAAGTTGGAGAAAGAGATGGAGGGCGCATTTCTAAATCAGTGCATATGATAAGTCCAGAAACCAGCTCTAGGTAAAAATTGTCTCTCTGTTACTTAAACTGCCCATAAAGGGGGAAAAAGTTGGTTTTTATAAGTACACACCAGTAGAGTATCTTCTGTACACCGAAGTTTGAGAAACACTAAGCAAGACTAAAGGAAAAAGCAAAAGGGACATTCACTTACAGACGTGTGGACGTTCGAACTCCTCTTCCCTTCCAGTAACTTTCACATCTTAGTGGTGAGTGGTGGAGAGCGGAAGGCTCCAGGGTGTCAGCCCCAGTCAGCACCAGCAGCGAGCTTGTTCATACAGCTGCTGCTTGTCATGTGTGCCTTTTAATCCACCTTGACTTGTTCGCCATGCTCACTGAATGTCTTAGATAAAACACAAAAACGTACAAGCTGCTTTAACTTGAGAATCTGTTAATAAGTTTGTTGAGATGATTAAATCAAATAGTTTCATCTCCACAGAGGCTAAGGAGTTAGGAGTTGAAGAGCAAATGAGATATTTCGATGATGTGACTTCAGCGTTGAAGACAAAATAAATGTGTTTCTTACAACATGCTTCTTCCTAAGAATATCAGATGCAATGATCAAACCATTACAGAATAATTATAAGAAAAATACACAAGCAGGCGTGTATTGATAACAATATAAAACATTGGTGTGGTTTATCGAACACCCACTATGGAACACCTGCTGTCCAAGCTTGGTGATTTTTAAAAGGTCCCAGGATGAAGTCAGGCTGCAGCCAGTGCTGACATATAGTCTGCTTTCGTTTCTGAGGCATCTGAGGGGCATGATCAATGGAATATTTTTGAAAGACAAACTGGATGAGTGAGTATGTGTGCATGCGTGACGGTGTGTGCATGCATACATGTATGTGCATATGTGTGTGCCGTGCATGCACTTCTGTGTGCATGCTTGTATATGTGTGTGCTTGTGTATGCATGTGTACACATGATTGACAGGGCAGATACTGGATTCAAGGGCCAGCTTGGAGGTGACTGGTTGATATGTGATTTGGGACTAAACTTGGTGTTATTTGTGGAGATGGATAATAAGTAGCAAATCAAAGAAATATTAGAAAAAACAGGGGCCAACGAGCCTCAGTGTCTTAGTGGACCAGGCGCAGTCCAGCAATGTCACTTCACCAGTGAACACTGCTGACAGGGACAGGCTGGCACAGACAGCCCACCTCTTGGGCCTGTGGGGCAAAGCCGCACTAGAAAGAGGCATGTGTCCTATGCCTTGAAACACAGGCACGTGTCTTATTTCAGCAAATTGGAGACGCTGGAGTTAACCCTCACAGCACAGGTGTTAATGGTCATTTGAGATATTTGCATAGGTTGTGTCATTTAGAATATCGAAAGTATTAACAAACCCTTTTATAGGTACCTGCAATGGAATAAACCACAGCGGAGCCACATTTGTAGGCACGGCCACTTCAGAAGCTCTTAGAAGGTGGTCTTGAAATGACTGTCGAGTTGTGTTATTTCATTCCCTCCAAAATTAATGTGTATGTCTAGCTCTCAATTTGTGTTTCACCTTAATTTTACAGATTTTAAGAACCGAATTCTTAGATTTCATAAGGGGAAGCATTGCAAAGAGCCTTCTAGTTTACTGAGGGTGAATGCCGTGCTGTGTATTTCAAACCCACTCCAGGTCTCTAACTGTGCTCTCCCCCTTCTCCTCCCCCAGATGAATCGGCTCCCAGGGAAGTCAGCAGGGTAAGTAACGTGCACACGATTTCTGCCGCCACGTCCAGGAAGTGGCCCGTTCGCGTGTTTTCCCAGCGCTTCAGCATGTTCAGTTATTAGAAAAGCAACGACAAAAACTGCCTTCTCCAGAATATCGTCTGTTAACATGGAGTAAAGCCCGTGGCGGGGCGGGGGACCCGCCAATAGGCGTTTTGTTTGGCCCGTACGTGCGTGTGGTGGTCTGTGAATCAGTTGCCAGCAATTAGCAATGGAGAGACTGCGTATGAAGGCGGGACTTTTAGCTTCTCTTAGAAAAGCATAAGATAAGGCAACACTGACCCAGCATCCCACATGGCAGCGGTCTGCCTAGGCCATGTAGCAGGAGCCACCTCCGCCACGGTCCTCCACGTGGTGGCTTCTTCACGTGTGTTACCTGGCTCATTCACCCCTGACCCCTGCCTTCGAGTTCACGCCCCTTCTCTTCCGGAGGACAAAAGGTGACAGCTCACGTGTGGAAGGCATGAATCCCCTCAGTACTTTCAGAAATACTAAATGAAGTGTTTTCATGCCCGAGAGAAATACTTGCTGTTAACTTTAAGGGACATAGCAAATTAGAAGCTTATGGGGGACAAGTACTGAAGGCACTTAAGCGCACTGTGTTTAACACTACGAAATTATAATTACGTATGAAAAAGTAAGTGGTGTCTTAATTATATATCTTGTAGACAGATAAATGTCTTAAATGTGAATCAAATATTAAAAATAGATTTGCATCTGATGCAAGCTTATATAAGAGATCACGCTGTCATAACGTATAACCTAAAGAACTGTTAAAACATCCTATATACAGATCTGTTCCTTTATTTTCGACCATGTGAAGACTCTCCAAAGTGACCAGGGTCTTTGCTGGAGACTGGAGATTTCCCTCTCCCCCTACCAACCTGGCAGATGCTTAGGGTGTCTGCGAGTGTCAGGGTCTCACGGGGTGCCTTCGCTGCTGACGTCATGCTGACAGGTCTCAGTTAGTTACCCGGTCTGTCTGCTTCAGGGTGTATCCGGGGTGGAGGGCTCAGCCTGGGGCTTCTAAAGCTGCTGGGCACAGCAGGAAAGGCTAAAGGCTTGTGGGTAAGAAGATTCTCACAGTGAACTTGGGCAGAGCCTTGAGACGCTGAGGTGCCTTCAGTGGTGTCACGCGTTTATCAATCGGGGCAGTAGGCAGAAAACTGCAACTTACTCATCAGTATCCCTTCAAAAACAGACTAACTTAAGTTATCGGGAACGTCTGACCTCAGTTGAACCTGGGCAGCCCCGAGAAGATTTTCGACTTTGTCGTTTCTGAGGGCGGTGGAGAGGGGATGCCCAGTGGCGGTGGCCTCAGCCCCGGCGCGGGTCTGCTTTGCGTCGTAGCCTGTGGACAGCAGCGTTGAGACTGGCATCCCGACCCTGGCTTCCGTCAGCGATGGGCTCCGTTCACCAGCTGCTGAGCACGCTCCCTTCGCCCCCAGGGTCCCCGCGTGTCACGGTTTTGGTGCCGTCGCATCGTGACCGCGTTTGCTGTCGCAGCCTGCTGCTTCAGACGTAAGCCGAGTTCTCGGTGGAGAGAACCGCTGTATAGACAAAGGGCAGACTTTTTATTGACTACGTCGCTGTATGCGCTAGTTTTGCAAAGTATTGCCCGAGACAGCCGGGATCGGATAATGGCGTTGCCACACACTTCTGACTGTGCCAGCCCCTGCCCCCCGTGAAGAGGAGAGAGACAGGCAAGGACCGATTAGAAATGACGACGAAACTGTACTTAGTGATTTGTCTTTGCTATTGTTTCATAAGGTTTGTTTATTTTATGCCAAATTTGGAGGAAGTGCATCTCGACCTGAGAAATACTAAATATTGTTAGAAATAATAAGTCTTAGAAATACTAAATTCCAAATAAATACGAGCTGATAACGTAGGACAGTATCAGTTGCCAAAATCTTTTAAAGTTTCTTTTCTGAACATACCCCAGGTCTTGGTCAGTGCTGGTTTAACGGGTACTCAGTCTGCTTTCTTCGGATAGCAGCCCCTCGATTTAAACAAGGTAAGATCGAGGCTGCCTAGCGTCGTCGGTGGTGGCCGGCGGCCGGCCACAGGGCCTCCGCTTGGGCACATCCACCGTCAAGAGCCACGCTCTCTAGGGAGCCCCGATCGCTCTTCCCCCAGGCACTTCTGGTTTTTGTGGGATACTTTCTCCCTTAGAGCCGGACAGCTTCTCCTCGACTGCTGTGCATGAGTATAGTTTCGACTCTGCGGCAGCTCAGCGAGGGTCCCCGCGCCTCCGAGGGAGCGCGCTTTGAACAGAGGGGCCGTGTCCTGTCTCCCCCCGTGAAACACGCTCGCTTCGAAATGATTGGCCCCACACTGGCCTCTCCCTCTGGGCCGTCACACGTGCCGTTTCCCCTTCTGGCTGATTTTCTCATTCCCTTCGGGTTTCCACTCAAATGTCAGTTTATCAGATGATGCCCCAGACCTCTGGGTTGGCACAGGAAGCCGGGTCGTCCACTCCCAGGCCAGAACCCCTCGTTATGCCTTTATTCTCCTTTATCTTTCCATGTATTTGCCATCATGCTTACCACTGTCTGTCTGTCTGTCTGTCTGTCTGTCTCTCTCTCTCTCTCTCACACACACACACACACACACACACACACACGTAAATAAATTCTTTTCAGCTGTGCTAATGCACAACAGTTGAGGAGCGCCCCCGGCCCAGAGCTGGGGACGGGCATGCCAGGCGGTGGCAGCGCGGGTGCGTGGCACCGAGCCAGGACTGTGCAGCGGGGATGCCGCCGGGCCGGAGCTGGGAGGGAGGGAGGAGGGCGCCCAGGCCCCGAGGTCGGGAGGGCGGGAAAACGTCTCGTTAAGATGAGGATCTGGGTGCGAGTTGCTAGGATGTGCCAGGCAGCCAAGTCTGGGGGGAGGTCTCGGGGGCCGTCTTCGCCCCTCAGATGCCGCGCGTGTGTTCCTTCACGCTGTGATTTTTCCTTTAACTGTCGCTTTCAAAATTTCTGAATACTTAGAAAGCTCTGTCATTTGCTCTTGGAGTTCATTATTTTTATTAGGTTCTGAGGATCTGGGTGCGAGTTGCTAGGATGTGCCAGGCAGCCAAGTCTGGGGGGAGGTCTCGGGGGCCGTCTTCGCCCCTCAGATGCCGCGCGTGTGTTCCTTCACGCTGTGATTTTTCCTTTAACTGTCGCTTTCAAAATTTCTGAATACTTAGAAAGCTCTGTCATTTGCTCTTGGAGTTCATTATTTTTATTAGGTTCTCTGTGAATGTTTTAACTTCCGTGGATCTAGCTGGGCACATGATGAGCTTTCTCAGTTATTTTTAAAGTCTTCCTTTGAAGTAGAACGTTCTTTGTTTGTTCCGTGCCGCATCGGTTCTGTCCTGCTTGTTCTGCTCTCTTCGGGACCGCCAGATGTCCGCGGTTCCACGTCCTGCCCCTTTGCTGTGCACTCGGGAAGGCCCGCCCAGACCCGCACTCGGCGTCAGCGCCGTGACCTTGCGCAGCCCACGTCTGCTCCGTGCTCTGCGACTCTGCTTAAATTCACAGCGGCTCTTCTAAGCGAAGGTCACTTCTGTGTTCTGGTGCTTTCACTTCATGTCCGTCTTTCTTAAGCTGTCATCGATAATGCCTTATCGTTTTTCTTTCATTTCTGAGAGGGCAAAGCAGTTGCTTCGCTAAAATTAATTTTGCCTGTGTTCAGCCTCTCACAGGATCTAAAATTGGCTGTATCCTGGGTCTGCTAGTCCAGCGCTCACACCTGTATGTTTCGGGTAGGTTTTTCTTCTTCTCAGAATGTCGCTGTGTCCGTGGAGAGGTCATTCGTTGATTCCTTTTTCCGTGCTCGTTTATCTGAGAACGGCATTGGGTCTCTGTTTGTAGGCAGAGTCTCCTGGTCTCTGCTCATCATGCATGTCCGTCTTGTTGGGGTTCTCTTGGGTGTACTCACTGGTCGGGGGTCGCCTGGGGGCTTCAGCAGTGCCATTCAGTGTGTGGGGCCTGCGGGCACGCCGGGTTACTAAGCAGTTGGTTGGATTGTGAGTCTGGAGTTTAGGGGAATGATGTGTGTTTGAGATATAAGTCAGAGTTTGAGTAATAGGGATGATTGGAGTCATCGGCATACAGATGGCATGTCACGTCCTGAGGCTGGAAGAGAGCCCTAGGAGGTGAGAGTGGTTCGAAGGACAAGAGGAAGTCCAGAGGCCAGCCTTGGCCTTGCCACCGAGAAGTCTGAGATGGGAGGATGACAGAGAAGAGTGTGGGGGAGCCAGGGGCGTCACCTGTGTCCAGCACCGCCCCAGCTTCGGGGGAGACGAGCCTGAGGGTGACCTTTGGGTTTGGCAGTGTGGGGGTCATTGGCAGCAAAAAATAGACAAATGCTCTGTGCGGTTTTGCATGAACGGGCATAATAGCGTGAGAGAGAGAAAGGAAAGATGGAAGGGCCCAGGGGAGGGAGCGAGAGAGGGAGGACTGCCCGAGAGGATGATAAAACACACAGGACAAAATGGGAATGGTTGACGGTATATAGGAGTTTCCTGGACTGTTCTTGAAGTTTTCTGTAAAGTTTGAAATGATGACAAAATAAAAAGTTGCAAAAAAAAAAAAATAGATAAAAAGAAGCAGGAAAAATTTAAACAGCGATGAGAAGATGTTTTGTAAATATTGGTGTTTATGCTGAAAGCTGAGGGCTGTTTTTGCAGGTGGTTAAGTATTTACCCGTCTTGCCCTGTCGTTGAGTTTTCTGGTGTGTCGTGACAGCCTTCAGGTACGCTGGCGACACCCGTAGAGTCACAGGCCTCGAGACTAGCGGGGAGCACAGTCTCCCTCTCCTTCAAGCTCCCTACACTGTCTTGGCGAAGTGCTCCCACCGTCCACGTTCAAACAGCTACAGCCCTTCAGCTCGTCTGGGGACATTTGTCCCCCTGCTTAGACCAGCTCTCAGCTTTCTAAACCAAGGGTTACTGTCGTATCTCAAAAAGTGTCATCTCCTCTGGATGACAGAGTGGCTGTCCCCCCGTTCCTCAGCTGCGTTCCAGATGTCCTGAGGCAGCACAGCAAACTCGCAGGGTGCATTAAAATTTCCGGGGACACCCAGCGACATCTGTCAGACAGAGCTTGACTGCGTTCGGCGCCCGCACCAGCGCGACAGCCTTGTCGGTAGTGTTAGAGCAGGCCAGTCCTTCCAGTGAAGTCATCGCTTTGCGAATCCATGTTTTTGGTGGCGGTTCTAGCAAAAAGCCAGCGGCTCCTGCCATTGTCAGTAGGGAGCAGAGGGTGAGGGTGTCGGTGCCCGGTTTGGTCCGAGGCCTACGAGGTGGGGCACCGTCAGCTCTGTCCCCTGGGACCCACCTCGCGGTGACTTGGGAACGTCTGGTGCTCAGCGCACAGTTGTGCGCGTTCCCATGTGATAAAGGCACTGGTGGCCTGTTGCGAAATTCAAGTTGCTTTGCAAATGCAAGTTCTCAACAACTCTGTTAATACACTGTTGTAACTTCCCGTTACGCAAGTCACACGGGTAAAAGTTGACATCACGGAGCGAGAGCAACCCGAGTAAGCTTCCTCATGGCGCTGTTTACGAGCGCGTCGCAGACGTGTGTGCTGGGACATCTGTCTCTGTCTCTGCCTTGCCTGTCTCAGTGGCACTCGGGTAGCAGACTGGCCATGACACGCACAACCAAATGCAATCACGCTCATCGTTTCACGTTTAACTGTTTCTGAGTTTGGCGGTACGTTGTGGGGGCAGTGATCCACTGTGTAGATAGGCCTTTAGTATTTAAAAGTTAATATTACATTAATGTGAACAGTGATTGTAATAAAACATTTGCTCTTATGAGATTTACTTAGTTGTCATGGTAATCAAAAGAAACGGGGTACACTGACCCAAATATAAGTTAAAGATCAGAATTCGAAGCTTAAACGTGAACAAAAATTAAAGTCCTAGGCCATAGATCGTCTCAGGCAGTGTCGATGCATTTCCACCTTCTTGTTCCACAAACGAGAAGGCCGAAGCCCAGAGACACGGCCGAAGGGAGCTTGTGACAAACGGTCCGCATCCCCAGGGTGTGATCTGGTTGTCATGCAAGTGTGACATTTCCTGCCCAAGAGAGATGGCGAGCACCTGCGCATGCATCTCAGCACCGCGCGCAGGTCTCGCTGAAAGGCTGCTTCTCAGAATTGCAGTCAGGGGGAAGCCGGCCATCTGTGGCGCTGGCAGGGGCGCCTCCCCTGCGTGGCTGGGAACCCGCCTCACAGTCAGCGGAAGTGTCTCTCCCACAGGAGCAGGGGATGCAAAGGACAGGTCGGCTCACGAAGAATAGAGGTCGCCTAGATTGTTAGGCACGACGAACCTAGGGCTTCGGTGTTTTCTCTGGAGTTCTTCAAAACTTGCAATAGCTCAGATAGGCCGTTTACGGGTGACGGACGACGTCAGCCTTGGGACCCCTGCACAGCACTGCCATGTCTGCGGGCATCAGAATCTCAAGTGTCCATGGTTTTTGTGCACATTTTCACCATCACAATCACACTGATGTCTGTGCAGGGATTGGACTTGGGAAAATAACTGGGTAGGATGGCTAGCTATTAACAAGGTAGCATTTTAGCTATAAAAAGCGTCCAAACTCGGCCAGGAGGCCAGGGTTTACCATGGTTGGATGTGCAGCAAAGCGGGTAGGACCACAGCTTAAAGGGAGAGTGACGCAGACCTGAGAACCAGACGCCGGGCTGGAGGGCGGCGAGCGCCCCGGGCCGCAGCCAGTGAGCCTGGCGCTGAGACGGGGCGTGACAGTTGCCTGTCGGTGTCTGTCTGGTGCCTCGGGGCGCTGCTCATTGGTCCACTTCTGTCGTTCTCGGTGCTTGGGGCGCTGTTCCCCAGGTGTCTGTAAGTCTCACTGGTCAGCCCCGTCCAGTGCGGAGACCCTGCAGTGTGGGGATCATGCCAGTTTCTGAGACTGTCCTCTCCAAATGTGCCTTTGAAACACCACAGGGTTTGAGAACCTCCTGGGACTCATTTTGAGACGGCCGTGCACTGAAGCCCGGCGCCACCCGTGTCCACTAGCCCGCCCGGCTGAGCGTAGTGATGTTTGCGTTTCGGACGTGCAGTGTCAATTTAAAGTGGGGGCCCCGCCGTCCCCGAAGCTGGGTAGTGTCCCCATCATGCAGCGCAGGTGCTGCAGGCAAGGTCGGAAGGCCCGCTCCGCAGACGTGCGGCCGTGATCAGGACGCCTCCCCAAGGGGACTTGGGCTCCCAGGTCTGTGAGTGGAATTTATTGAGGTGCCCTGACTTTCTGGAGTGGTGATCGAGTCAGATTCGTGTCACCAGCCCAGAGCTTTCCTGCTTAGACGAATGAAAAAGCGGCTGCCGAGGGCACGGTGATGGGCCAGCCAGCGCGCGAGGCCTCAGCCGGCCGAGCGTCCGATGGCAGCGCCCGCCTTGCCTCTGCATGTTATTTATATGTTGCCACTTGTCCCCTGCCAGGCCAAGATCCCATTTTGTCACTGAATTCAGGGAACCCTGCGGGTGGCAGCAGTTGCCCGTCGTCCCTGGCCCACAGCACAGAGCTCTTCGTGCAGGCAAGAGCTTCCTGCGTGTCCCCAGCCTCAGGGAAGCGAGGGTCTTGGGACATGGCCAGGGCCCGGTTTTCCAGATCCACCTGCTCACGTGCGTGCCACCCTGGCTGAGACTGGAGTGCGCTGGGGTGTCTGGCATTTCAGCTGCATTCGGTGTCAGCCACTGAGCGGGATGTTCCAGCCAAGCTGGCATGAATGCACCGAGCCTGGCGTCTCTGTTCAGTGCACCCCCAAACCCTCGCGTCCGTCCAGCATCCTCTTCCTTCCCCCTGTTCCCACGCCCTCGTGGTCCACCCCTCACGCTCCGGGGTCCGTCCGCGGGATCGCATCGTCCTTCTCGGCGTGTCCTGCGCCTCCCTGCACGTCACTCTGCACCTCCTTTGCTGGGGCGGCCCACACCCGAGTCCCTTCATCGATCTGAAGCCAAGAGAGGTGCTGGGGGTCGGCAGTGCCCGGCGGGACACCTCAGGAGGCTCGGCAGAGGGCAGGCTCCGCTGCAGTCTGTGCGTGGGTCCCCTGTCACCAAAGCCTTCCTCCTGGTCCTGTTAAGGGAGTGGCCCGCCCCCACTGAAGGCGCGTTCGCTGTCAGCCTGCCTTAGAACTGCCCTTCTCTATAGTCTCGTCGCCTTCGGTGACACTGTACAGTTGACTCGTTTATTCTCTTCCACGAGAGTGTCTTGAGGACGGAGCTTCGTCCCGCTCATCCCTAGCGTCTCTAGTGTCGGGAGGAGGGCCGGCGGGTGGCGGTGGTCAGCCTTGCCCGTGCGCCTGCAGAATGGGTGACGTGCTCAGCCGCCCTCGCGTTCATTCCACCGTGCCCAAGAATAACAGCAAGTGACAGGCCTTCAGGAGCGGAAGATGCCTGAGTGGTCAAGCAGAGAAAGGTGGCTTGCGACAGTTTCCAGGCTGACAGTGCCCACGTATGTAGGGTACGGGAGGCCACCCAGTGAGCAGTCCGTCTGTCCTGCTGGGAAGCCCCAGGAGTACTGTCAGCCCAGGCGGGCAGGGTTTATTTTTCAAGTTCACCATGGCTGCTATTTGGAGAAGAGGCTTAGGCAGGCAAGCTCGCTCAGGGAAGCTTATGTGAGAGACTGGCTTCCCGGACATTTAGCGGACGCGCAGTGGCAGCTCAGGCTGGAAGCAGCGAAGACCTGGCTCCCACCTTCCTCCCAGACGCCGTCCACCTGCTGCTGTCCCTGGTACCTTAAGCGGCCCCCTGCTGTGGGCTTTCTGTGGGACGGCTGATACCATGGTGGCGGCCGCAGTGCCAGCCGCTGGACCCCGCTTTAGTGGCAGAGTTGAGGTGGGACTAGGGTGATAGCCATGTCCATGCAAAGGAGGGGACAGTAATAAACTTGGATTCACTCAGTACAATATGGAAGGTTGACTTTTCTAGCAAATTACAATGTTTCATTCAGTTAGAAAACTTGTATTATTTTCACTGATCAAGCTGTCTGATACATATAGAACTTCAGCAACAAAGTTGTAATTTGTAACATTAGATATTTTAACATAAATAAACATGCATGCAGTCTTTAGATAATTCTAAGTAAGTCATAACAATTTTCATTTGCAATCTTTTAGAGGAGAATGTAATATTAAATCATGCTCTGTAAAAGCATAATGAAGAGCTGGTATCTAAAATCAGACATATTATTTTTACAAACTAAGGAATTTTTATTATATTTAATTATGTCCTTTTTCTTGTTTTTCTTTTTTTCATTCCAAGTACCAAGATACGAATATGCAGGGAGTTGTATATGAACTCAACAGCTATATAGAACAGCGGCTGGACACGGGAGGAGACAACCAGCTGCTCCTGTATGAACTCAGTAGCATCATTAAAATAGGTAAGAGACGTTTGAATTCCTCTCAGTGGGATATGTGAACCAGAGATTCTTTTATTTCATTGCACAAAGTGGCAAAAACAATGTTACTAGAGGCAAGGGCAGATTTTTTACTTCTATTCTTGGGCTAAATTTGAAGTGAAAATATTTTGTTATTCTCAAGTGAGAGACCCTTAGGCGTCTTAAACTACAAGGATGATGTGTAAGCCTAAGATTTTCTAAATGATCTAATCTGAAAAAAGTATCTGCCCGATGTTTAAATGGAATATAGTATGACTTCTAATTAAAACGTAGCTTTTTTCGGAAAGTATACTTTTATTGAACTTAATCACATCTTTACACAAGAAATCTTGAAAGAAGAAGAAGCATTTTAAATATATATGAGAAGATGACAATATAATATACTGTTATCGCCATTTTACTGATGAGGAAGTTGTGGCGAAGAGAGGCCAGCTATGGTACCTACCGCCACACAGGTGGAAAGGACTTAGCTGGGGCGTAGGTGCAGACCATGCCTCTAAGACCTCACCGCGGAGCTGCTGCAGTAATGGCCTTCAGTGGACCCAGCAGCAGGTTTAGAAAAGTTAAATTATGTTCTCTTAGCGATGACATGTAGATGTATACATGTTGTTTTTGGTCGATTCTTATAGTGATTATGCCATAGTATAAACATCACTTCTGGTATTTTTAATACTTTAAAAATTAAGTACAGTTCTCAGATTTTAGAGATATTTCCCAGTTATTTCTGATTTTAAAGTCTGGCAGATGTTATATGATACATTGACCGCTGTATGCATTTGAGGATGTCACACGTTAAGACTCGCACTAGCCGATGAAAGCAAACACAGGTCCTGCAACCGTGTGACCGGGTGAGCCGCGGCGTGCCGTGCCCGCTCGCCCCGGCCACCAGCCCTGACCGTGTCGCGTCCCTGCGTCCCCCCAGAGCCCCGCCTGCTGTGCCCTCCTATTGAGATTAGTTTCTTCCTCTTTCATTGCTTTGGCAGCCACAAAAGCTGACGGATTTGCACTGTATTTCCTTGGAGAGTGCAATAATGTGAGTATCTAAACTTAGATTTTGGTGCTCTAATTAAGAAAATGTTATAAGCTTTTTTTTAAAGATGAACTGTTATGTTACAGACAACTTAATAGACATAATTAAATGCTTTAAACTCATTTCGTAATTTGTGTCTGTGGATATTATCAGCTGACTTTTACCAACAAGGCAACATTTAGGCAGAAAATCTTACAGTTTATTGATTGTTTGGGTTTTGGTTTGTGGCATTTGTCGACTTAGTTTTGTGCAGAAGTCATTTCATCGTTGCGGCCTGGGCGTTGTGGACACTCTGCGCCCTTTCTATGCACAGTCTGCAGTAGAAAAAAATGAGAACAGAAGTTTAGCATTTTATGCGATTTTTAAGATTTTTAAAGACAACTCTCAGAGTGCCGGGTTGGAGTCACTGAGAAGTCCAGGCCCCTGAGCCGCGGTGGCCAGGCTGCAGGCTGTCACATGCTGGGGCGTCTCAGCTGTGCCTGTCCAGTCTCTGGGGAACAGGCTGGACCTCACATTTCTGTTTTAACTTACTTAAAGCACAGCCCACTGCCAAATGTGGGCCATATAGACACACTTTCAAAAGTTATTCAAGACGTTCAGTTACTGGCATTTGATTTTTCGCTGTGGTATTGAAAACACATACTTACATATTTAAAATAATATTCCGAGCCAATAATACTTATATTCATAGCGTTAAATACATACTACTCCGTTATAAATTTATGTGGCAGACTTTATATCGTGTATTTCTTATGTGCTAGTTACTGTTATTTGAGATTTAGGATGCGTTTTTTCCAATGTGATAGTTGTGTTCGTGAGTAATCACAATGTTTGCTGTTCATATTATGTAAAATGTTAACAGGAGGAGAGAGACGAGTATCCCGAGGTTTTAATGCTACCCTTGAATAATGCAGTAGTGCAGAGCGGGAAAGTAAGTGGCTCAGAAAGTACTCACAGGCCGAATTCCTTAATTCCTAGCGGCCCCTGCCCCTGTCCACAGCGCCGCTTTCCCTTGCGTTGCTGGTCATGGGATTCACAGCGCTTTGGGGCAAGGATCTTTTCCTTCTCATTTTCGTGTTCAGCCAGCATCTCTTCCAGTGCCTGTCATGTAAACTGCCAGACAAGAGTGTTGAATTGGAACACTCAGATATTACTATTACTTCTAAATATATTTTATACACCGGTAGTATCTTAAAGTGCCTAAGCTAGTGAAATAACAAATACATCTCAGTATTTTCCGTTCATTCTAAAAATTTATTTCTAAAACTTTGGAATTTTTATTAAAAATAAGAATTCCTTTTAGAAAACTCTTCTAGAATTTGCATTTATTTTTTGTAATTCACTACCGTGTATGTTAGCTCAGCAGAGTGGTGACAGCCACCTCTCCTCACTCCTTCCTTGAGACCTGCAAACCGCCCACAGGGTTGGCCACTGCCACGCTGCTTGCGTCATGTGAACCCTTCCCTTCAGTGACAGTTACTTGTGACCCAAACCGGGGCTAGTCAGATTCTCTGCTGAGACCTGGATCTTGGACTCAGCGTCTCTGGCTGATTACCTGACCCCTGAGCCTGGGATAGAGACTCAGGCGACCGAGTTTGACCTTCACACGTTGACCACAGTGAAGTGGCTCGCTCCAGCGTGGGATTTAGAAAAGGTTTGTGTCTTCACCAGCTAAAAGGTGACGTTGTGAGTGTCAGTCCTAATTCTCTCGCTCCTACTTGGCACCCACGTTTGTACCTTCGCTGAGGGGATGACGTCACGTCCTCTCAGGCTGTCCTCTGGCTCCGTAGTCTAAACTCCTGGGGTCAGTTGATTCACTCCTCGTGGTCCTCCCTTGGGTCACTGTCCTTGCTCCTCATTCCTTTCCCACATCTCGGGGACCGAGTGGGTCGCCTGCAACAGTGAATCCCTGAGAACGGCAGGTACGTAGCAATATTGCAGCTTTTTCTGGTCTTGGGTCAGGTCCCACTGTGTTACGCCTTCGTAAAGTCTGTACTTCTCCTTCGCAGAACTCACCGAGGCTGGGGTTACACATCCCCTGTGGCTTGTGCGGTCACCTGCAGATCTGGCTTTTTCACTAGTACAGAAGCTTCGTGAGGGCAGAGACCTGGTCTCCTGGGGATGACAGTTTCAGGGGACGATCCCTGTTTTGTTGACTGTGTTTTTCCGTCCGTGTGTTCCACACCGTTTCCCTCCCCTGGGACTTCCGTGGGCAGGAAGGGGACGCACGGTCCCAGTCTCAAGCTCGCCAAAGCACTCCTTCAGATGTCTGTCCGTCTGTCCGTGGCCACCTCTTCCTTGCACATCAGGCCTCTCGGTGGGGACCTATGGTCCTCGGTCCCATAGGACCGTCCCTTGACAGGAACCCGCTGTGGGAGATCTGTGTTTGTCTGTGTGTCTTTGCCACTGTCCTTAAAGATGTGCTTGCTGCATGGAGGGTTCAGGCTGAAAGATGTTATTGACTGTAAGACTGTAATACAGTTGCTTTTGTGATTGTTTTGTTTGTCTCGGTCCTTCATTATAGTTTCCGTTTTTATTCCCAGGGCATATTCTCAAGCTTATCTTTTAATTTCTTTAACTGTACCTCTCTTATATTGTTTTATCTTTCTGAATTTATCATTTCTTGGCTTTTATGACATTCCATCTTTCATAGATGGTGACTTATTTGCTCACGTGTTTTACATTTTCCTTTTTCTTTAAAATGTGAATCATATTATTCCTTGGGCCCTTTTAAATATATCCATAAGACTGGTGTTGAAGTTTCTTTCTTTGAATAGGATATGTGTCTGTTTTTGCTTGTCACCTAAGGCACTGCTAACCGAAGACTATTTTAATTAAATTATCTAGTAGCATTTTTTTAGACTAGTAGTTTAGAGTCAAGCTTCAAATTCACGTGATGCACAGATATAGTTTCTCAGAGGACATTTTTATTCTCCCTCTAGCAGTAAATTCAGGATAATTTGGTTCCTCTGTGTAATGCCTTTGCAGCCGTAAGTGTATTTACCCTTCAGCCTAGACGAGGATGCAGCCCTTGATGCCGGGGCCTCCGATGACACATCCCATGTGGAGAGGCCCCGGGCGTCAGCTCTGTCTGGTCTCCTGTTCACTGAGCAGCTTTCATCGGGACTTTGGTTGATACTCTCGGGAAGAAAAGAAAAGTTTGGGATTTTCTTACCTTGCAGGGTTCCTTAATTTACTTTCTTTTAGATTTTGGTGGATTCTTTCCATTCTTCTCATCCCAGTAATGTTTTGTAAAAGATTTAGAAAATAATATACTTTATTCAGCCTTTAAATAATTAAAAAAAATTTTTTTAGGAGTGTCAGATAATCTAACCTGCCGTATCATTTGCAGCAGATGTTGACATATTTCTAAAATGTAAGCTAACCATATTAAATAAATAAAACAGTGTTTTTGCACAGATGAGCAGATACATGTATATTTTCTTAGAATTCTTTGTGCATGAAAGGTAGCATATTATAGATATTATCAAAATGTCTTTAAAAGTTGCCTCTGGATTTTGAATTGTAGGTAGAAAGCTTTTCTTAAATAACTTACTTTCAAAACAAAATGTATATGCTTTAGTGATAGAATTGCAATAATGCAACCTGAATAGTCTGAGATAAAATTTTTAGTCTAGACCAGTAAATATGAAGGATTAAGACAGAGATGGAAAAAAATTATAAAATTCTTATATTCATAAAAGTATTAATTTTTTTATGGATGAGAATGAGCATAAATAACTAATTTTCTGCAATGGATGTATTGAGAAATCTTATTTTAAATAATATTTAAATATATCAGAAGTTCCACTAGAATCAGAAATTGCCATTGATGTTAGCAGATTGGAAAGTTTTAAAGAAAACACACTAAGAAGATTAAATAGTTTCAAAGCGCTCAAAATAAAATGTCAAATATGATTGTGAAACTAATTATGACAGTATCATAAAATATAAATTACACGTCATAAATATATGATATGAAAATATCGTAAAATATAAAATTACAAGTAGAATAGGTTCAGCTATTAAAAGAAAAAAAATCTTAAGTCAGGTTAAAAACCTCACACCTTCTAATTACAGAGACACATATAAACAGTGAGTAGGAATGATCGAAATCAAAAGAGAATTTAGAGCAAACCTAGTTCAGGAACATGCAGACTGAAGGAGAGCAGCAGGTGCCACAAGATCACTGGCGAAGTGGAATTTAAGGAAGGAAAGCATTGAATTGGGAAAGGAGGTCATTGATGTCGGAAGGGCTTAATCTACAGCGCAGGGTAGCGCTCTTGTGAAATTTATACAACAAATATCAGGTATGTTTATAAAGCAAAACAGTCATACCAAGGAAAATGAATAGAAAAATGCAATAATATTTTTAGTTGCTGATACATCAAAAATATAATTTAGCGGATATTAGTAATATCACTAATTATTAGGTTTTTAAGAAAATTTATATATTTAACTCAGTATGCTATTTTAGGATTTACCAACTTGGGGTTCCCTTCTGTAGGTTACATCCTACTTTGATGCACTGAGCCCCCATTTAAGGATTCAGATCCTCAGAATGGCTAATAACAAATTAAATCTTAGAAATTAAACATAAACAATATGCCAAGTAACTCTTCGAACAAAGAAGAAAAGTAAAATTCAGTTAATGAAATATTTAGAGAACAATGTTTATGAAAACAAATTGCAATATGGCTGAAGCTCTGGACAAAGTTATTGACAGGGCGGAGGGCGGAATTTACACTCTTAAAACGTTAAGCATTTTGTATACACTTTTGAAACCTTAATAAACAAGAGAACAAACATAAGTGAATTTGTTACTTGGACATGTTTTTATCAGGCCCTGTCACGTTATGTGTCCCAGGTACCAGAGATGCTACAGTAAGTTCAATTCCCTGCCCTTTTGAGATTTACCAGTTTAACCTGTGCAGACGGAAGAAGAAGAAAACTATACTTAAATGAAGAAATCTAAGGGTTTTACAGATAAGCCTTTTGCTAAC